CCTGTCAGAGGCGCACTAAGAGTCCCAGCAGCACCTGAACGCACCGTCCTGTCAGAGGAGCGCTCAGAGTCCCAGCAGCACCTGAACGCACCGTACTGTCAGAATAAAACTGGAATCAGGCTAAAAATAAAGGTGTTTATCTGAAGATGAAGAGGACGAAGAGGAGGATGATGAAGATGAGGAAGATGAGGAGGGGGTCAGGACTGAAGCAGCTCCAGTTTGCTTTCTGACGAAGCGGCGATGATCTCCCCGGACAAAAACAAATCCTGAAACACAAAAATACTTTTATTACACGCTCTTATTTTGAAGGGTCAAAATGACTCATGCTTTTATTTTGTTATATTTCAGATGGGCACTAAAGAGGAAACAAATGATATAAAAAGAATCTGCTAAATATCAGATAATAATTATAACTTTTAAAATGTCTTTGTTTAAGAATGTTCTCATTTTGAAATGTTTTAATAAACTTTAAATAAAACCTGTTTTTATTTGAATATGAACTTCTTATAGTGTTGGTGGTGCGTTCACGGACCTGGTCATAAACCACTTTGACTATCAGCGAGCAACTCGGACAGGTCGCTGTCTCCTCTCCGTTCTCCAGATCCTCCTGAACAACAACAACAACAACAACAAATCAATACATCATAATTAGGTGTGGAGCAGAAATAAATGTTTAAAATTACAACAACAGGGAAAATGTAAGAAAATAAATAAATGACAGCAAATAAATTCAGACTGACTTATGAAACGTATATAAATAAATGATAACATAATACAGAAATATAAATAAAAGGATTTCCGTGCAGGAGAGGAAAAAGGAGATTGTAAAAACCTGTAGAAAAACAAATGTAAATAAAATAAAGCTTGGAACAGTTTTCGGTCCTCCACCACAGAAGAAGAGTCAGCAATTAGCTCAGTTAGCACAGTTCCTACCTTCGAGATACAGAATCTGTCTCCGCAGGGACACGGGAAGTAATACATCTCCGTCTCTTCATCAAACTCAAAGTCCTCGATCTCCACCTCGTCGTGAAACACCGACATCTTTCAGAGACCCGGGAAACAACCATGGAAATAACGGAGAACAGAAACATGTGAAGAGCTTCAGCTCAACGTGAGCGGCGTGGGGAGCGTCATGACGTCAGGATGTACGAGGCGTCAGGACGTACGAGGCGTCATCACGTTACTGTCTGAGATGGGTCTGGATCATAGGTCTGGATGCAGACGCCCCCTATAGGATCCACCCCCTTTAGGATCCGCCTCCTTGCTGTGGTCTGCATACAGACTCTATTGTTAACTGCTGCCATCGTG